TGATAGTGAATGTCAGCATCTTTCTCATGGTCATGACTTCCCCTCGTTGCACCATGTCACACCATGTCACACGGTCACAGAAGTCATCCTCTAGTAGGTGAAGTCAACAGGAGAGAGTAGGTCACCCTTATCAGGGACTGTATTTTCGGAATCGAGGAAGACTAGCTTCTTGTTTTTTGACATATTTTTAGTATAGTTGACATACAATGTTACATTAGTTTCAGGTGTGTGACTTAGTGATTGGACAAGTTTGTACATTATGCTGTGTTATCACTGGTGTAATTACCATGTGTCCCATTACATCACTATGACAATGTCGTTGACTGTATTCCTTATGCTGCACCATTTATTCCCGTGACTTAACTCATTCCATAACCGGAAGCTGCTGTGTCCCACTCCCTTTTACCCATTTTGCTCTTCTCCTACACCCTCCTCTATTGCAGGTGTTTGTTCTCTGTATGTATAGATCTGATTCTGTTTTAGTTTTTTTTTTTTTTTTTTTTTTTAAATAAGGTATTTGTCTTTCCCAGTCTGACTCACTTCACTTAGCATGATACTCCCTAGGACTACCCACGTGGTCCCAAATGTCATGCACTTATCCTTTTTATGGCTGTGTAGGATTTCTTTGTGTACATCACATTTTTTTATCCATTTTTCTATTAACGGGCACTTAGATTGCTTCCATAATTTGGCTATTGTAAATAATGCTACAATAAATACAGGGGTGCATGTGTCTTTTTGAATTAGTGTTTTCATATTCTTTGGGTCAATACCCAGTAGCAGTACACTGGATTATTACTGGTATTTCTATTTTTAATTTTTTGAGGAACTCTATACTGTTTTCTACAGTGGCTGCACCCATTTGTATTACCACCAACAGTGCAAGAAGGATATTTTTTCTCCACGTCCTCACCCACATGTATTGTTTCTTGTGTTGTTGATTTTAGCCATTCTGACAAGTGTGAGGTGATAATGTCTCATGGTACTTTTGATTTGCATTTCCCTGATGATGAGTGATGTTAAGGATCTTTTCATGTGTCTGTTGGCCCATCTGGATGTCTCCTTTGGAGAAATGTTGATTCATGTCTTCTCCCCATTTTTTAATTGGATGATTTGGTTGTTTGGGTATGTTATAGAAACTCTTTATATGTTTTGGAGATCAGCCCCTTATTGGATATACCATTTGCCATTCTTCTCCCATTCAGTAGGTTGTCTTTTTGTTTTGTTGATGGTTTCCTTCACTCTGCAAAACCTTTTTATTTTGTTGTAGTCCCAATAGTTTATTTTTGGCTTTTGTTTTCCTTTCTCAGGAGACATAGCTGGAAAAATGTTGTTATGCCCAATGTCAGAGAAATTAATACCTGTGCTCTCTTCTAGGGTTTTTATGATTTCAGGCCTCACATTTAGGTCTTTAATCCATTTTGAGTTTGTATTTGTGTGTGGTGTAAGAAAGTGGTCCAGTTTGATCTTTTCCATGTAGCTGTCGAGTTTCCCCAACACCATTTGTTGAAGAGTCTCTCTTTTTCCCATTACATGTTCTTGCCTGCTTTGTCATAGATTAATTGACTATGCAACTGTGGGTTTATTTCTGGGCTCTGTATTCTGTTCCACTGATCTATGTGCCTGTGTGCCATTACCATACTATTTTGATTACTACAGCTTTATAATATATCCTGAAATCTGGAATTGTGATATCTCCAGCTTTGGTCTTCTTTTTCAAGATTGCTTTGGCTATTCAGGGTCTTTTGTGGTTCCATACAGATTTTCAGATTACTTGTTCCACTGCTATGAAAAATATTGTTGGTGTCTAATAGTGATTCCATTAAATCTATAGACTGCTTTGGGTAGTACAGACATTTTAACCATATTCTTCCAGTCCATGAGCATAGAATATAGTATCTTTCCATTTGTTTGTGTCATCTTAAGGGTGATGTGACAGTTTTGTATTCTCCCTAGGCTGTCTTCCACCAGTGACTATCACCGATAACTATGGTTTGGGGTGGGGCTGGTGGTGGGGGGTGGGGGGTGGGGTCTCTGTCCCATAGTCCTCTTGCCTTTTAACAGAAAGACAAAAAATTGCAGAAGGTTACCAGCCCTCGAGAGACCATCAGCATGGGCTGGGCCTCCGTCAGCTCCTGAAGGGAGGAGGGCTGATTCCTTCATTGTACTTTGCATTATATTTGTAGCAGTGCCTCCAGTTCCTTAGCAAATGGAAGTCACGCATAATGCAAGTTCAGTACAAAGGGGCAGTAAGGAAGAAAGGGTTGGGAGCGTATGCCTAACTTAGTGGTTCTCAAATTGGGGCTTCATGCCCCTCTCTCCCTAGGGGCATTGGCAGGGGAGGGTTTTGGTTGTCACGTGGAAGGATTGCTATGGTTGTTCAGCTGCTAGAGGCCAGGGGTGCTGCCAAACACCCTTCGATGAATGAGACATCTCTCCACAGCAAAGGATGGTCTGGCCCAAAGTGTCAAGAGTATCAAAGCTGAGAAAGCCTGATTTAACCCATCCTAGGGGTCCCGGGCTTCTGTGTCTAGCTCATCTCAATTGCTGGTAATACTTAAATGCCATTTTCTCTGTGGACTGCTTGGCTGGTGATAGGGCCTTCAGGCAACGAGGCTGGAGATGGAGGGGCTTGATCTCCTGCATCTGAGCAGGGCTTTTGTCACACGCTGCAGCCACCTCCCAGTGGCACCGCTGCCCCTGCCCACATGGGCCAGCCTCTGGCAATCTTCAGAATTCCAGAGAAGCAGTTGATGCTTTCAATTCATTGTAAGAGCACAGCTGGTGGCTGGCTCCCATTTCTGCCAGCTGAGGAAATGCCAGGGTTGACGGTGAGTCATGCTGTCCACGGGACTGCAGCTCCTGGAGGACAGTGAGCTCATGACCCTTCTGATAAACTAATGAGAGTCCTGCCTTGCTCAGGAAGACATTTCTTGAGGAAGGATGAGAGCATTTCCCAGAGGAAGTTTTATTTTTTATTTGTATGTGTAGCAGGTGGTTATATAGTGCTTCTCATGTACCAAGTGGTGTTCAGAACATTTAGTAAAAATTAACTCATGAAGTCTGCATAACAACCTAAAGAGGTTAAGTTTATCCTTAGCACTCAAGAATGAGGACGTAACTGAGAAACTTTGTCTCCAGAGTCTGGGCCCTTAGCCACAGTGCTTTGGAGGAAAGACCCTGAACTTCATGCTTGGGCTCTTTTTCTGCCCTGGCTCTTGACTTCTGGCTGGTCCACTGAGGCATCAGGGAACTAGGCCAACCCGATTCAAGTCCCCATTCCAGTTTATTATCTCCGTAGCCGTGAGCACGTTGCTTCATGCCTGTGAGCTTTGTGTTCTCCTCTGTAAAATGAAGTCATTTTACCTCACCTACCTCACAGAGGAGGCGAAGGTAACGTGGGGCTTCTTAGGTTTGCGGGTGGACTGTAAAAGGTATTCAGGAAGCATTAGCTCCCTTCTGCCCTTCTCTGCTGTGATGGTGTTTTTAGCCCTGTTGCTCTAATGTCGTAGCCGTCTTCTTTCCTGTAGGTGAAAGACGGGCTGAAGAGCGAGAAATAGCCCTGGCTGGGTGTTTGTTAGAACGAATGAACGAACTGCTGCGGAGGTTGACCTCATGAGGAAGTCTGAGTGGTGGGGAGGTTGTGCTTATGCCAAACACAAAGCACCAGACTTTGTGGGTTTGCTTTCTGCTTGCAATAGTTAGTCTGCTCCTGCCATGGCTCCCATCTGTAAACCACCAAGAATATAAACTTCCATGTCCACTACACATCTTTGTTTCTGTTCTGATGACTTTCGTCTCCACCTGGCAAAATAGGACAGCCTGAGTGCCTTATGGCCGGGGTTTAAGGTTAGCTGGCTGTGTTCTGGGGCTGGTGAACTGATCCAGTGCGTGCTTCTCTCCTGGTCAGGTGAGATCACCTGCTCAAAGCAAGTTGGTACTGTTCCCAGTAGGAGGGGAAGTGGCAACTTTGCACTTGTCTCAGTTCAGGGCGTTGCGTAACCTGCTCCCCACATGGTGCTCTTCGCCCCAGAACCACTCCCAATTCACTCATGAAGCTGGATTCTAGTCCCATGGATGGCTAGCCAAGTGTCCTTCTCACACGTGCAGGTCAATGTATCTTTCTTTGATTATGAGTTTCCAGAGGAGAGAGGCTTAATTAATCTCCTTGTATGTGTGAAATACCTTGTGCGCAAACTTTGTAAATGCTTTTGTATCCATGAGGATAAAGTGTCTGTCTGGAGAGAAGTGTGGAGAGGTGACCCACAGTCAGATGTGTGAGAACGGGAATCAGCTCTTAAATGTAAGCACCATGAGAGAATATCCCAGCATCTAGAACAGTGCCTGGCACGGTAGTTGTTGAGTAAATATTTCCCAAATGAAGGAATGAGTCTGATCTTAATTTAAGTATCTTTCTAAACCTCATTGTAGTTACCTCTGAGTTACCCAACATGCCCAGCATCTGGAACTGTAGTCTTTATTAACTATTACCAAAGTACCCAATAGAAGTAAAGACTTGGCAAAAAAAAAAAAAAAATTGGGATGTACTAGAGTATACAGAACTGAAACTAACATTGAACTTGGTCCAGAAGCTACTGCAAGACCTCGCTTCACTTGGGGGTTGTCATTGTATAGATCAGACCATCATGCTGTAAGAAGGAAGTTAATAGAGTGCTTTGATAGTATGCTAAGAAACATGGAGTTTCTCTATCTCCTTAGTGGCTGGAAATAATTTTATGTCCCCTCCTGTTAAACTCTTGTGACTGAAGAGACCAATGTATTTTGTACTCTCTGGGCCACTTGAAGATGGCCTCTGTCATCTTTAAGATAGGGTTTTTCAAGACATGTCTTCAAGCAGTATTTCTCAACTATGCCACTTTTTTTGGTTCTTCATGTCAGAGACAGAGAAGGAGGAGGAAGAGGAGAGGAGAGAGAAAATGCACCAGACAACATGTACAGAAGCCAAAGAGTTTTTAAACTCTCTGCATTTTCTTTTACAGATCTGAAGAAAACTCTCGCCGTGCTGTTGGATAATATCTTGCAGCGCATTGGCAAGTTAGAGTCAAAGGTGGACAATCTTGTAGTCAACGGCACGGGAACAAATGCGACCAACTCCACCACCGCTGTCCCCAGCTTGGTCGCACTTGAGAAAATTAATGTGGCAGGTAAGAGTGGCTGTTGTGCGCCCTGACGTGGAGTCCAATCGTGCTCTGACCTGGGAAAAGAATCAAGGAGCACAGTGGTTCTTATTGGGGTAAACCCCATCATCTTGGTGGCACGGCCCCTCTGAAGCTGATTTTAAATTTATTTTTGATTAACATGTTAAAAGACTTAAAGGCTCATCGCGATGTGTAATATCTGGTGGTTTCTGTGACACATTTCATATAATAAGCTCCAGAATTCACTTTTAATGAGAAGATTCTTTGCATGGATAAATGGAATAGAGAGGTTATCTGGGAAGTTTGTGCCAGTTAGAGATCCTTTCTCCTCCCCGTTTTTATCAGACAGTTTCAAAAGTCTGTTCTGTGTAAGAGATTCTCTCCTTCCCATTGTTAAGGAAGAGCCACCATTGCAGAAAATGCGTTTCGTGTGTACATGGGGAGATAGAAATTCTGGAAATGGGACTGATAAAATAAACGGCCCCTGCCTGAGCTTGGGCTGCTCTGTCGCTGCTCCCGGGGATGCACTTTGTCTAGCCTCCTCTTTAAAGTGGAATCTTGGATGAGAGAAGAAGCATAGATTAAAAACCAATCCCAGATCACACACAGCCTGGTCTGCCCATGGCTTATGTTGGATGCCCCCTTTGCACTGCCCTGGGGTCGGTCTGAGTCTCTGGTTGAGCTAGGATTTGCTTTCATTAGAATGAAAAAGCAGAGAGCCTGAGGATAAAGATGAGCTGCTTTGGGTGAAGGGTTGTAAATGAGTTGTCTGCGCTCCTGGTGGTGGTATCCAAACTCTACTTAATGGATAAAATAAGGAGCTGGGTTGCTTTCTGCTACTTTGAAAATCGAATTTAGCGTCCTTTTGGGTTTCTCCCTACCTCTCACTTGCGCTGTAGAAATGTACAGACTAAAGTGGGAGAGATTCTTTTCCTTTCCTACCTCCCAGTGTCAAAACATTTAATTGTTTCCCATTATGCAAGCTTGTTGTATTACTTTTCTCTTCTGTTCTTTGCCCTTTAGCAAGTGTTAAATTACAAAATATATTTCTAATAATCCAAAGTGTCCAACCAAAGAAAGGTATTAAAAATAACTTTTAATTACAACACAGAGGCAGTGTCATCTGGGCCATAAATCCTATCTTCCCTGCAGTTTCCAACAGCTTCTGTAATTAGACAAGAAAACCTCCCACTGTGTTGAGCTGCTTATTAATAAATGGAACCCATGCCTCTCCAGTCTCCACTCCTCCACCCTGTCTGCAGTAGGCAATGCTGTAGGACAGGTCCTGTCTGCTGACTTCATGGCAGTTCTGCATTATCCTATTTCCAGAGGTGGAGTGGGGTGCTCTGCCTTGACCTTTGCCACCTCCCACTGTCTCTGTCCTATACAGCCCCTGTAAACAGGTCTGTTGTCATTCTCTGCCCTGATGAGGGATCAGCCTTTGACTGTCCTCTTTGTGTGCCAGGCTCTCTGGGAGGCTAATCCTACCTAGGCTCCAAGTACCTGGGTCCAGAATTGTAGGTGGACCTCCAGGAATGAAATGGGAGGGAGTTGGTGACTTCTTCCTTCTAATGGGTTCCCAGCCCCACATACTGAGTGAGTTAGTTGACTCAATTAACACATACCTCTTGAGCACATTCTCTAAGTTGTTAGCTCTGATGGGTCTCCTTGCTCCGTGCCACTGGTATTATGTTTTACTGATATTTAAAGAACCAAAGGATTTTGTGTGTTTTGTGGGGTTGGGGAGATGGGGGGAGGAGGGAGCAGATTTAAAGTTGTGCCTCTGATAATTAACTTCATTCTCCTTCCTTTGTATTTTTTGTATGTGAACCACTCTGTCTTTGAGATTTTTATTGGCCAATCAGGAAAATAATCTATATGCCCCAAATCCCATCGACGGTGGCCGTGTAAATGGGGGTAGCTATGAGGCTTCTCACAAGAAGGTGCATTGTGAAGGTGGGTAGAATTGAGGCATAGGGGTCTTATGGAAGAGATACAGACTCCTAGGCATGGATTGTGACCCAGAAAGTAATTGGAAGGGAGGGGAGAAAACTAATATCCAGCAGCCATCCAGGAAACACTAGTTAATGTTTGTGACCCTTGGAGGCATACGATTTTACCCAGTCTTCTCAACATCTAGGAGAAGCTAGAGTTTATGGAGTTTGGGTGTTTGGAGCAGGGGCTACCTTTGGTATTGGAATCCCTTGAGCCTCAGCTTAAGACCGAGCACCATAAAGAGGAGAGATGGTGAGTATTGGCTGTCTTACTTGCTTTCCTTTGTAAATCATCACAAATGGGCAAGTTTTGAAAAATAGGCTGCCATTTTCTTAGAAGTTCCTGGAGAGCTGACAGTTTCCTGGGATATTTAATAACTTGTCTAGTAAGGAAGTTCTCCATGTCTTAAGGGTCTGTTTTTGTGGCCAACCTGTGTAAAAACAAGCTTGTCCCTGTGTAGCATGTGCATTCCTCCCTTAGCAAGGCCGTGAGGAAAAAGAGCCATCCTCCTTTATTTCCCTGGAGGGTGGGGGAGGGGAGCTTTATAGTTTGTCAGCTAAACAACTTATATCTAAACTCTTTGCCCTGTCTGCAGATGAGAGTGCCAAAAAGAAGGACAGGAACTTCAGTTTGTAGCCCTTGCTCAGGAAGAAACCATTTCTTGCTTTTGTTGCCCTCTCTCTGAGCCATGGCCCTACGGTCCCCGTACCCCTACTGTCCTAGCAGGAATGGCTCAGAGCTGGGAAAGAGTTCATTGTTACAGGGTTCCAGTCCCGATTGAGTGAAATTTTTCTTTCTCTCTTTTTGCATTAAGACATGTGGTAATTGCTCAGAAATGTTCTCCCTGGTGTGTCTTTACTGCTTACTCCGGTGTCTTACTGCTCACTGATGTTTCTGATTGCTTACTGTTGCATCTTATTGCTTGCTGATATATCTTCTGGTTGGCTCTAAACTGCTTCTAAATTGGGTACCATGGCAGTTGAAGAAGGGTTCCCTAAATTTATTTTCTTTTCAGGGATAGCTCCGTGTGTATGTGCGTATACATGCCCTTCCTCTACTCAGCTATGTTCTCTGTACCTTTTATCCAAAATGGCTTTTCTTTCCAAATTTATCACTCTTGGGCTTTTGGATGATGCAAAAAGGATATTCCCCTAGAGAAATCTAGCTGGAAACGAACTTCATTGGAATCAAGAATTAGCTTGAACTGCATTTTTGAGCTTGGTTTATCTTGTTGAAGATGTAGGCGAATCAAAGAAGCTAAAACCTAGATTTAAAAAAAAAAATCCCCACCCTTCAACCAGTCGCCTAGTAAATCAGTTTCTCTTCCCTGAAAGAACTTGAATGTTTCTTTGCCAAAATTATCCCCTTTCAGAATGATGTTTTTGTTTTTGGAAAGACCGAGTCTGCTTTTCTCTACTTTTATGGTTTTAAATTATGATGCGGAGCGAATAGTGTTAGATCTGGAGTTCTTTGCCATGTGCTAACATAGGGGAAAGGTTAAAAAAAAAAGAAAACCAAACAAAACAAAAAACCGTGATCGTGAACGTGCTTGCCATCTGAGGCCCGAGGGTGTCCCCTTAATCTTTGTTTAGCCCATAGTTTGTTCAAAGCCTACCTGTTGACAGTACTCTGTAACTACTCTGTAACTGCCCACGCGGATTGGATGATGCTGGAGGGAAGAGCATGTGGTTTCACTGCTAAAAGGAGTTTCTCCTTCTGGAGAAACAACTTCTCCTCTTTTCCATTTCTGCTCCTGGGGATTTGCTTGGAAGTGGGGCTTGGCATTTCATTTCCCTTTCTCAAACCCTAGCAAACGCCACCTATGAAGTGGGATTTTTTTTTTTTTTTTTTTTTTTTTTTTTGCCTTTCGTATCTGAACTTCCCACAGATTCTACCCTGCTGTGGCGCCCTCACGGCAGGTGATGGTTACAACACTAGATTGTAATATTTTGGGGAATGGGCACATTGTGCCGCTCTCCCCATCAGGTGAGGGGGGCGGTGCATGTTTCCCTCTGCATTTCTTTCTTTGTACTTTGAAGAACCAGCTCTTTCCACATCAGCTGAGGAACTGACCAGCAAGGAGTGTTTGCTAAAAGGCACAACTTAATGATAACATTGCTTTTGTGTTACGATCACTTACAACTGCAAGGTCATTTGGGAAGCACAGTCACAGACCCGAAGGCGCAGGCACAACTGCAGTGGCTGGTTTCTAGTATTGAGTCTACACGGAATGGTAGCTAGGCCTGCGTTTCCCAAATGTGAGCAGCCACATGTGGTGTATTTCCAGTGTCTGCTGGTGAAGTGCAGTGTATTTGATCTGGGTTGCTGTTCCCAATAAAAAGAATCATAATTATTATTCTACCATTTAAAAATTGCAAATGAAAAATGTCCCCGCTGAGTTTCAGGACTTGCATTGGCAGTGCAATTTTCCCCCTTTTGTGTTGCTAATGGACCTTGAAATTAAGTTGCACCAGTGCTTTTTGCTCTTTGCTCTTTGGGTCCCCCCTCTTATCAGTTGTGTTGGAGTAGCACCGGAAGTGCCCCCCCCGCCCCGCCCAGCTCCACAGGTGGCCTTCTAGGGATCAGGTAACGGGCCAGCCTGTGGCGCCCACAGGTGCTGCAGAGAAGCAGGGCAGACCAGAGATTGCACGGTGCTTTCTTATTAATGTGAGCGAGAAACGACCATGTTTCTCCCATCGACACATCGCTCTCTGTTTCATTCTTTGTCAGGGCAGCACGAAAGACTTGGCTACTTGTCAGAAACAATTCTTCTGGTATCTTCCTAGAAAAATGTGTCTCATCGTTGGTGTGGTTTTCACTTTGTGTGGTCAGCGTGTTTTGATTTTTTATCATGAAGAAGGAGAAGGAGCGCAGGAGGAGGAAGAGAAAGGAACATACGGTTCAAGAGAAGTGATGCCGCCCTTTGAGCATGGCTTTTATAGCATTGATTCTCAGCTGCTGGTGATTTTGCCCTCCCCCTCCCACCTACACATCCTGGCCACACGTGGCAG